AGCCGTTACTTTTGCCGAGCCTTTCTTTAGGGAAGACTTGTCAGAATGCCTTTTACAATTGATATTTAGTTATTTCTTCGTTTTGGAGCCATGCTGCTTCAGCTAGGGGGTATTTTATTTTATTTTATTTTATTTTGTGACTTTGTTACCACATTTCGGTGCAGTAGAAAGAGGTTGAGGGTCCTACTGGAGGACATCTCGCCGTGTCAGCAACCTGAGGAGCTGGTGGCATCTCTGACTTTTTCCTCCTGCCTTCTGCAAGTATCAGCTACATGCAGCTACCTTGGCAGCTGTTGGTATTATTAAGCTAATTAAGTCATCTTTTTCGTAGTCAGGGTACAGAGTATTCTCCTCTTAGGAAGGGGGAGTATTTCTGAAAGAAAAAAGGAGGCAATAATTTATAATTGTATTTGCTCGCTGTCTTCTGCAGAAGGTTGGCGAGGATGTGGGCTCCTCGCAGTGTATTGAGGCATTGGTGTTGCAAATAGGGTGGTGATAAATTTTGGACTTTGCTCCTTTCCCAATCTGTAATTTTGGATTTCTTCATAGATTTTTTGGATCTGGATTAGAATTTATCGCATGAGATTAAAAGATTTACAGAGTGGCTGTTCTCCGATTGCTTAATTTGCTGGGATCCCAAGCTGTCCTCTCCCTCGGGTGCCTCAAAGCCAAAGGAGTGAGAGGGCTCCATGTAATCCCCCCGAGGGAATGTGGACCCTGCAAGCTCTCGTTAATGTTTAGGTGTGCTCTGTCAGGGGTTTGTTTTGTGCCGTTTTCTCTGGAAAAGGCTCTGCCTCCATGCTGAGATGCTTGCTTTCTGAAAATGGCTTCTCCTTGCTGTTCTCTGAAAAGCTCTGATTGCTTTTTACTTTGGTGTTCATCTGTTCTTATTTGAACTTGGGCAGGTCTCGGTGACCTACCAAAAGTTGTTAAATTGCAGTAATTCCTTAAAGCAGGTTTTAAAGGCAAGACTTCTTCCCTCTTTTCCGTCCCCTCATTCCTGTGGGTTTTCTTGTTGCTGAGTCAAACCCCAAGGGGATTCCTTCCAGAACTGACCACCTTGTTGGTGGACTTGAGGTCTGGGGTCTGCTTCTGGTTACCATCGTCCCGAAGCCAAGCCCTTCTGAACTCCCAACTAGTACAGAAAAAGCAGAGAATCCACACCCCTTTTTTTTTGTAATAAAGCCTCAAAATACTTGAGGGTTTCTTTAAAATTTATTTAATCCTTCTTGTCCATTAAACTAGACCAAGCCAACAAGTCTGGTCAGTTTGGGGTTGTGTTTTTTTTTTTTTTTTTCCTTCCTCCTGACCTAGGCCAGTGTGGATACCGGCTTGTGCTGCCGGGATTCCCGGTTTTTCAGGGGAATGCTGACACTGTATGTTTGTGCTCCGTCCCCACCCCCAAATAATTGGCACAAGTCGTAAACATCGGCTTGAGCGCTGCGTGAGAGCATCCCCGAAGCCCATTTTAGGAAGACAGTTGAACGTGGTGTGTCTGTTTGAGCAAGGTGAGGGCAGCTGAAGACAGAGCGGCCTCTGACTAAGCTGCCAATTAAAAACTGGATATTCTGCTTCCCCCTGGAGAGGCGGGGAGGCTACTGGAAGTGTGCTTCCTCTTAAAATATCTGTGGGATTCATTTTCTTTGGATGAGTGACAGAGCGTGGTGCTGACCTACCTCAGGGTTTTTTTGGTTTGGTGGTGGTGGTGGTTTTTTTTTTTTCACTCAGATGAACATTGTTTGCAAATCTGTGTATAATGGGAGAGTTGAGTGTTGTGGGTTTTGCGTTGTGCTTTTGTGGGCTCTCTCCATTTCAGAGACTTCCTCACGAGGGAGGGAAGGAGGGTTCCTTCAGTCTTCGGCAAGCCATTTCAGTTTTTATTCAGTAGGTACCTGATCCTGGCAGAGCTCATCTTCCCTCTGTGCGGGGATAAGCGATGTGAACTGTATTGGACGGGCTGTTGGCACGCCTGTGTTTTGTGACCCCGCGCGCGTTTTCTGTCCCCCTCTTCCCCCCCTAAACTGCATTAAAGTGGGATTTTTAGGCTTGGGGCTAGGCAGAGCCTCAACTGGGTATGCTTAATAAGATCTGCGCCTGCCAGTCAAGGGGATAGTAAACACGGGCTGGCAGCTGGTGCCTCAGCACCCTCCCTCGCTCCTTCTCCTCCCTTCTGCGCTTGTGCCAGCAGGATGTGGCACCCGGCACGACCACCCGGCCTCCCGGAGGAGAGGCTGGCCCCGCCATCCCGAGCGGGAGCGGGTCTCTGCGGAAGCTGCTGAGCGAGTCACGAGGCTGTTGGGGTGGTGAGGCTGGTGCAGGTGAGCCGTGCTGGAAGCAGCTCAGTGCCAGGGGATAGAGAGGCATGTTAGATGTGCTGAAATAGCTCTGCCAGAGCAGACAGTTGGCCTGCCAGGTTTCAGCAGCGGTACTTGGCAGCGAGGTGAGTATAACGTACGTACGTGTGTGCAGGTAGTAGCTACACCCTTGTTTCTCCTGTAGAGGAGCAGGGGGACTCCTCCCTACCAGCATCTCTCTGTTTTGAAGGCCGGCAGATTTGGGGTGACTCTCCTAGAGAGCTCCTCCCTACCAGCATCTCTCTGTTTTGAGGGCCGGCAGATTTGGGGTGACATCGCTGCTTGTTAGTGTTCGTGCAAACTGCTCATTCTGCCTTTTTTTTTTTTTAATGAAAAAGTGTGGCTGTTTCTCTCAACAGGTGGAGTTGTGGTGTTCTCTCATCTTCATCCTTTTCTCTCTTCCCCTAGGTCTGTTTGGAGCCAAATCTTGTCTATGTGTGTGTCATTTTGTCTCTTTTAATACACTGCCCTGACTTGCTTGCTGCGAAGGGAGTATGCATCTGGAGATCAAAGTTGCTCTTAACTTCATCATCTCATACCTGTACAACAAGCTTCCTCGGAGGCGGGCAGACCTGTTTGGTGAGGAGCTAGAGCGCCTGCTGAAGAAGAAATATGAGGGTCACTGGGAACCGGAGCAGCATCTGAAGGGGACTGGCT